CTAAACAGACGGAATCTGCACTGCGTCAAAAAGGCGCGACATCAAAGCGCGACGGGAAAGAAGGAACACCGAGGACAGAAGCGGGAGGGTTGAGAGAGCCGCGAAGAAGCGCAACGACTTTCAATTACTTGCATGTCTTCGCGCAAACGAGCACGCGTGCAGCGACTCGAGCCGTGCTCTCGCCCCGAGGAACAATGAAGAGTTCGAGCGCGTTGATTTCACTCGATGCACGTTCGTCGAAGCCGTTTCGAGTCCCCAGTAAACGACGCGACAGATACTCGCGTGAAAATTCCAATTCCAATGGGATTCAATATTAACCCTAATCGGACCACGATGTAACTTTGAATCACATTTGAACTTGTTACTTAAGTTTTTTGATTATTTCATATCGCATCTCCAAAAGTTTCTTTGGGCTTTTAAAATGTAGACCCTATAAACAAACACAATAAGATTTTAATCATTCCTTTTATTCTCATAAGTGACTGAGAGTCGTGGTCTGATTCGTTATAAAAGCACGTGGCAGGATTCGGGTTAAAGCTTCCAAGACAAATTTCGAATCGCTTCGAATAGAACACGATAGTCTCAAATTCTTGAAGGTTTCGAAAGTCTGCTCATGAAATCGAATCCGTGATTCAACCTCTTTTGCCACGCGAGCCAATTCGAAACGATTCGAAGTCTGAGTAAGCTACCGAAAAGTCGACAGCGGAGCGCGCGAGAATTTAAACCGCTGCCCAGCCGAGAGTAAGAATCTCGCGCGAAATCGGACCGCGGAAATTCGCGGGCGAACGAACGAGCGAACGGGAGGCAAATGAAGAGACCGGCAGAAGGAACGACCACGGCGGAAAGGAGGGCGGGAGGGAAAGGGAACAGCGGGAAGAAAGAAAGTTCACCGACGCCGTAATATCTTGGAAACGAATGGGGGTTAAGCGGTATTTCAAAAGTTGAAATACGAGGACTGCGTTCGCCGAGGCCGGCTAAATTTCCGAGGAACGGCAAAAAAGGGCCGCGGCCCGGCTGTAATTTTCCGTTCCCTCCTTTGCTCTCTGCCTTTGTCGGGCTTTATTTCATTTCTCTCCCTTGTGTTTCCTATCGGCCGCTCGAAACGTGAGCTTCTTCACGTTTCGCGTGGTTCGTATATCCGTTCCCTGCTCCAGCCGAATCGAGCCGAGCCGAGCCGGACCGGGACGAGGTGTCAAGATTCCTCGAGGTTCCCTTTGAATTCTTTCGCGTAAATAGAATGAACCGTACGGTTGGAAGACGGCGCGTCGCTTTCGACGAGGCACTCGAATTCGAGCACGCTGGAACGTTTGATAAACGGGAAGCCGTTCGAAATGGAGAAACGAGAACCTTGTTCGTTGCTTGTTCGTCGCGGAGTCTCTTAATCCGAAGAATCTCGCAACCGATATCACCCTAATCAGACACGCGGCGTGGCTGATCGCACGCCGACCAATACTACTTAAATTTGTTGCACGAGTCGCTCGTTGACCGAGTCGGTTAACTCCACTTTCTGGAATTTGTAAGATTTCATCGTTGACGAGCTCGGTTAGCTCTCGAGATCTCATATTTAACACTAGATTCACGAACGTTTATTCTAAACTTTATTCTATTGTTCCTAGAAAACTACGTGTTCGTTTATATAAATCGCGAAAATTGTAACTTCAAAACTAGAACATTCCAATGCGTGTTTGCATAATGAATAAAAATCGACTTGAACTGTCACTGAATAATGTTTACACGTTAAGTGCCACAGTCACCGATAACTGACGCTTCTGAATTACTTGAAAACAATCGTAATATGTAAGATAATCGATTTATTAAAATGTTTAATGACGTAACTAAGTTGATAATAGTTCAATGCAAAGATTGTAACGCCAAACAGTGAATAATTGAGTATTGCAATGCGTATTCGCATAATTGCACGAATAAAAGTCAATTTAAACTATTACTGAATAATGTTTAAAACATTCAATACCCGTCAAATTGACGGGTTTCGTACATCTAATGTTAGAATAAATTTCCTTATTATTCAATGTTCCACGAAACAATAAGAATTCGTTAATAATACAATACATTCTCTAATATTTACTCGATTATTCATTTGAAGAGAAGTATCACAAATTAATGTAAATCACTGCGTCACTTTTCTCGACTGTTCGTCTAGTGGAGTGATTTGGCTAATGAATGGCTCGTGTTTCACTTTGCTCGTAGTCGTCCCGATTTCCCATTCAAACGAGCGCGTTTCGTCTGTCCCCTCTCCCGAAAAAGCGAGACAAGAAGCTCGAAGATCCTAGACGATCCTAGAGGATTCTAGCCGTTTCGGGATCGTATCTACATCTGTGTTTATCCCGGTACATTTATTCCTCTCGGTCCCCGGGGACGCGCGAAATATCATGCAGATTCCAGAATAAGCACGATTTCTTTTCCCCGACGAGCATGGCCATTTTTGCTGTTCCTTTGATTCCGTTTCCCCAGACTTTTCATTTCATTACATCCGGCGCATTTATCCTCCTTCAGCGACGGTTCAAAGGCGATGCGAATCCGCGGGGAAAAAGGGAGGACTCCTCCTCTTCCCTCTAGCCAGCTCCTTTCGCGACTGTACTTCCCGCTCCACCTCGGCTACTGCCTGCTCGCTGGTTCGACCCCTTCCGCTCGGCGAATTCTTTACACTTGCAAAAGTTCCGCTTAACAATCCCGCGAAGTTCGCGGGCAAGAGAAGTTTTCCTTCTACGCGGATATCCTCTCTGTCTGGCAATTACTTCCCCCACGCCGAAGAAGAAGAACCGCCGCGTCGTCGCCGTGATCCCTTTAATATCAGCGCGCCCTTAATCAATCGTACGAACCCGATTCGCCGTGCTTCAGGCATGCTACACAGTATAAGGACCTATGCACGCGAGAGACACGATCCCGCTGCGATTGTTTTGGTAACAGAGAAACAAAGTTTTTCTATCTCATAAAAAGAGGATAATAGAACGTTACGTCTTTGTTCTAAAATCGCACAGCGGGATGGCTGTATCGCGTCGGTCGTGTGCATAGACACTAATCGCTTAGTTAGATGTACTATTCTTCAGTTGTTTACAATTAGAAGCAGTCAGTCTCGTAGACAAAAGGCTAACGACTCGTTACGGGGAAAAAGAAAGAAACAACGTCGCGGTCCTGTCTCGTATTCGCTTATCTTGTTGCTAACGGTATGTTTATAAGAAAACTGCGACATCATTCGCCATCGTGCAAACTTTTACGAGGACGAATAATCGACGACCGATTCCGAAGAAGAATTGGAACGTTCCGCGTTATTCGAACCGTTAAACAATCACCGAACGCAGCGATACGCGTTGCTCGAGCGCAAACCCTTCGATCGCGAAGCAGAAGCGCGTGTTTCAACGGTTCGTTTTCATGGCTCTGCGATCGAGTGTCTCAGCTCCGTTATAAACGTACCCCAACGGGTCTCAGACGGAGCAGTAGCGTATCTTCGATTCTTCGTATCTCGTATTCCCGAGCTCGCTTTCGTCGACGGGGCAGTAGAGATGCGGGACGTTATTGCGTTCGTTCGCGGCATTCTTTTTCATTCATTTTCGCTCTTCTTCGGTATTTTCCGCTCTTTTTCGCTCGGCTTCTTTTGACGCTGCCCGTTGCCCGCGCCCATCCGAGCTCCGGCCAAAGACACCGAGGAAAAACAGGCGAGCGTCATCGTCAAACTTCTCGACGATCCGGTTTCTCCGGGCCAAAGAAAGCCGGATTACGGGACCGGCTTTTATTCTCCGGCTGTTTTACACGCTTACGTACTTTCGGTGATGAATTTTTTCGCCCGGACTCCCTTTCAACCGATGAATGGGCTCCGTCGCGGACAAATTGCTCCATCGCGTATGAAAATGAACGGGCTGAAAGTGGCTGGAACTAGAGCCCGGCTCGTTTGTTTCTTCCGTTCCCATCGATCCTCCTCTGGTTCGCGTCGATCCTCGTCTTTCTCCCTCGATCCTTCTACCTTCGACTCTTTGGAACCAAAGTCACCCTCGTTCGCCGTGGAACAGAAGAGAGAAGGAGAAATTCGGGATCGCGAGATCCACCGAGATCCGTCGTTTCGTAACTGACACGATCGCCCCATATCTTTCTGTCAAGATGCTCATAGGCGTCGCCGTTCCGATACAAATCCCCGGCAGAACGTTGGTCTACGGCCAGAACGTGCAGTTCCAATTCTCCCTGCCAGACAACGCGACCTTCTTCACCAATTTCTTCGAGAACTCGTCGCGTCGACGCAGAAACGTCAACCGGAACGAGAGGACAGCTGTCTACGACATCCTCGAGCGCGAACTAGACAGGTGAGAACTTTCTTCGAGCTGCCGCGGTTCGAACGACAAGTTTCGAAGCGGCGGGAGATCCGTCACGAACAGTATTAAGCGTATTAGCTGTGTTATCCGACCTAACGCTACGTAATAATCACTTAAACGGGCTAACGCTGTGTTTACGGATACTTATCGCGTAGTTTGTTCGGTTGTTTCTGGAAAAATCGATGCTCTTCGTTCGGATCTTGGAAATTAGAGATTCAAAAATAAGCATTTATATTAGTTGTATCGATGAAACCCGATGCGAACGTTTGATTGATCTATTGAAGGGTTCTCGTAAACCTGAGGTCGAATCGAACGATAAGCGTACTGAATAGGCCGCTGTCACGTTCGTAAATTATTTTCAGAAGAAACATTGACGGAAGGAGTTGCCTTAAGAAGAATATTTGCGAGGCAGCCGCGACGCCGGTGAAAGACGACGGACTGCTCGGAGAACTGCTGCATTTGCTGCTCAGGCAAGATCAATTGATAATTCTCGTGGACCGAATAATTAACGACAACATCGGTTCTCCTCGACTGATCACGCGTTCAATTTACAGTCCTGACGAGGGGGGCGTTTCGAGCATGGACCGAGAGTACTTGGACGCGGCGGCAGCCGGGAGAAGATGCGAGAACTGTTCGACGATCTATCCCACGTGTCCCGATGGTCTAGGAATTTTAGATCGAATCTCCACCGTTTATTAATTAAGATATACCTCGGTCCGGTTCTAGATTCTACGCCCTCGTTCTACATTTTATTGCGTTTTTCCTTCATTTTCTCCCCCGACCCATTTGCTCCCTTTATCCCGGCTCACGTCAGTCTTGCTTTGCGCGGGAATAAATCTTTTTCCATCTTACGTTTCGCGTTGTTACGACCCGCGTCAAGTCCCGTCTGAACGGGGAAACTATCCCGACGTTTCCCTCCGTTTATTCTAACTCGGCACATGATTTATCGGGACCCGTTTGATTTCTATTAGGAATATCTTCCGGGATGAAGGGAAATTGGGGATGGTAGGGCTTGGACGGCCGAGCAGCGAGAAGGATGCCGAGGATATACGCGGATATACATGGAACGCGCGATCGTGATTTAACAATTCCGCTTTCCAACGTGATCCACGGAAGACCTCGAATAAGAAACAAAAGCAAGACTCTTCATCAAACTCTCCAGATATAAACTATGTCTATTAGGAATGATTTCTCGACGTTCCGCTAGTATTGCAACTGGTAACGTCGGGAATCTCCGAACTCGCAGATACGTGTATCGGATGATGCCAGCTTTAGTCCCAGCGACACGACGGGAAATCGTTCCTAATGGACACGACTCGCACCCGGAAACTTCTAAGAAGGCTCGTAGCTTCCCTGGTTACGGAAGCCTCGAACAAATGAAAAAAGTACACTCGTTAAATGTCGGTTTTACAGTTGCTCCCGCCAGGGGCTCAGCCCGAGCCGGTTTAACGGTTCGACAAAGTCGCTCTAATCGAAGGTAACTAACTGCAAAGGCTCCAATTGCCGTGTGACAGTCCGGCCAGTCTCCCGCGAATTATTCCGTCGATTTTCCGCCGGCAATTCCGCGGGAACCGTCTCGTCGCGCGAGAACCGTAACTAAACGTATTAGCGAAGTTTAATGAACTAGCTTGTTCGATAAGTACGATCGTAACCGACTACCAGCCGGCCCTTTTGGAATCAGAGCCAGTGCCAGCGGGGATCATGTCTTTTCAGCTGTCGATGGTCAAACCTCGTTACGAGTTCTTCCTTGCACGGTAATCTTGTAACATTCGCCGGACGCGCGGGTCAGTGGCATCACGTTCCGCGGATCGATAGACAAATCACTTCCAGAATTCTGTACCGACTCGTCCGATACTTTGGACGCTGTAACGTCGATCGTAAAACAGCTCGAAGACGAACGCAGGGAACGGGAAGAGGAAAGGGAGAGAAAGGAAGAGAGAGAGAGAGAGAGAGAAAGAGAGAGGGAGAGAGATCGCTTCACGTTGCTGGCAGTTTAGTAGTTTACGGAGAGAGTCTCGGTATTCGAGCGAGAGGCACCGGCACGTTCCATATTTCAGACAAAGGAGCATCTGATGCTTTGGACCAGGGAAATTCAGCGTGTCTCGCGTTTTCGACAGATACTCCAGCTCTACGTCCCGGACAAATTGTAGTCGTTTAGCCAAATTCAGTTTCTCGCGACGACGGCAGAGAGGATAAGCGAGTATGCATTAATAAGTGTGGAAGGAACGGGCGACGGCGAGATACGCGGTAGGGTAACAGGCGAGCGAAAGACTAGGTTAAACTTAAAGCATAGATTAAGAAAACACGTATACACCGGCGTGCGTGGAGGTAAAGTTGCGCGAGACGTTTCCGAAAACTCCTCGCCTCCTCGTACTATTCGATCGTGCTGGAATATCGCAAACGTCTCGCGCAGAAATATATAAAACAGTGATACACGTGTAGATAGAACCGCCGAATTTACGAGTTTGCGGATAACCAAGGCTATTAACTATCTCCACAACGAACAAGCCGACTCGATTAAGCAACTCTTTGCTCTAGAAAGTTCTTCATTAGAAATATTCATGAAGAAATATGTGTAAATTGTGGAATCAAGCTATTTCATTTCAATATTTCACGTATTTCATTATATAAAGCTTAATAGTACACATAAGACTTTATAATGTTGATATATTATAAGGATTTAATTGATCGATATTGATTTATTTCGTCAAAAAATCTCGCCTCCATACAAACACTCATCACCAACTGCTCTCCCACCTTCCTTTCTTTCTTTTTGCCTCGTTCGTCCAAAAACGTCGCAGCATCGCAGAGCAGCCCCCCTCCTCGAATACACAACAACACGCACACATCTTTATAATACGCACGTTGCACATTTTCGTATAATATCGAATCAAGTGCAAAGTATTGCAGTCCAACTGTACGTAACATTTATACGAAGAGAATTATAATCTGTCGGAGGACCGATAAAATATTATTGTCGTCACTGCGGATTAGCGTTCCACGGTTAATCGAATCGAGAAGATTCGGTGGGAAAGGAGTTCCAGCCTCGATCCATGCTAATTGATACGACCAAGCAAGCGAAATAGAGGAGGAGCCAGAAACAGCCGAAACGGAGGGAAAAAGTGACGATAGTGGGGCTGAGAGATACACCGTTATCGATATCCCAGGGCGACGAAGCTCGAACCGATTCAATCTCGCCGGGCGAAGACATTTCGAGGCTGGCGGTAGCAGTTCGCGCGATCTGTACGCCGCGTGGGTAGCGTCGCGAGAGGACATCTTGGCGCAGGGCCCGTCGTTCGTTGATTATGCGTCTGTTGTTTGGGAGCATCCTCTGCCTCGGCCTCGTTGCCGCGGCTGAATTCGTGGCCGCGGGCAGAGCCACCCGATCCCTGGCATTCCGAAAGGGCAGCACCTTTTTCGTGAGTATCCGAAAGAACAGTTTCTTCCAAGCGTGTTTAATCCAGCCAATAATCGAGTCGCGCGTACGGTAAGCACGTGGAATGCTCACGATCTTCGTCGCAACCCGATTGCGTTCGTGCTACGTACGTTTACAGCGAAACTGTGATGATGGAAGCTACGGGAGCTGTGCGTTGATCCGAGCGACGCGATAAAGTATCTAATGCATTTACAGTAAAGCTGTGACAGTCGAACGGTTTCGATCGTTCGAACCTTTAACAAGACAAATAATTGATACGATCAGCGATTCCGAAGCAGAATTCAAAATGGATCGTGCAGCCTGTACCTGTAATCAATTACTGAACAAAGCTCCGTGCGTCGCGCCGACACGCTTCAATTATAAAACAAACCACGTACTTCGATCGTTTTGCTCTCATCGTCCCTCTGATCGAGCAGCGCTGCTGTAAACGTGCTCTTAGCGCGCGAATTCTTTCTCCACCCGTGAATTTCCTGCGCCAACGATCCACGTATCGTCGCTCTCGTACTCGAATCGTTTTCAAAATCTGCCCCGCGATTTCGTGACTTCATGTACCCTGTTCGGTTGGCCGTTAAAGAAGAGTAGGCCGCAGATTCTCGTTTCCTCCTTCAGTGTCACTCGTGTCTCCCCGAAACCCTTGTCTCGTACGGCTCGAGGAACCGTGATCAGTCGACGGAAGAAATTTCCGGTCGATCCGCGACGAAATTAGCTCGCAACGGGTTTGACATCCGAGCGAGCGGCGTATACCTTCGTTTATGGGGCGCGACACGCGACGCGCGACCGGCTGCGGCATGCATGCTGGAAATTTATGCACCGTACCACACGGGCTAGGCGGCAGACTAATGCAAACCGATCGTTGCCCCGTATTTTCGCTTTAAAAGGCGATCCTCTCTCTGGGGCGAACGCGTTCCGGCCCACTCCGTAACGCAACTCGCCCCGCTGTAACTCCTCGATCGAGGGCCTGACGTATCGGCGCTCTCGCGCGCGTCGCTTCCCAAGTTCTCCGTCTAAATATTACACGCGACGATACGAAGCGACTCGTAAATTTGTAAATTCCGCTTGGTTTCTCTTCGGGTTTCGTCTCCGGCGAAACGTCTGTGACCCGCCGCGGATACACCGTGTACCACGGAGAATCCACCGTTTCGGAAGCGGTCAAACATTGACATTGACCGATTCTTTCGGAGCCGCGCCGCTGACGTTTCCATTCCGCTCCATTGTGCTGATCAAACAATTTCCGCGGAACAAACTGGGACGGACTGAACCGCGTCGCTGAAAGATTCAGGCGAATAAAGTTGCTCCTGCGGCGACCGTGGCGGCGAGGCCGACGGGAAATTTCTGGAGCGAACAGGGCTACGGAGTTTGACGTTCGTAATTGTTTACGATTTTCGGGCGACGGGATGCGCCAGATGGGTCCGTTGCGACGCGAGGCGACACTGAGCGCAACACCTTCATCGGTAGGCCGCATTTCCGCCCTTTCCCTGCTCGGCCCCGGAACCGAAGAATTACGCGACTACCGATGATCCAGTGCACTTACTGGCGAGTACGCGATCGAGCATCGACGATACGACCGCCGCCTGCATCTGCACTACACACGTACACGCGCACACGTGTCCCCGCCTAATGCACGAGACTGCGGCTGAATTTCAGATCACCTGCGAATCGATACGACCTGCACACTGTGCCGCCACGAAATCTTATTTTATTCGGTGTTACGAGAGACACATTTAGATCCCTTTTTACCAACCACTTTTTCATCTTATTCGACGTGACCCAAATAATTGACCAGCTATCTCGGCTACCAGAAACTTCGGAGCTGATCGGTGTCGTGGATTCGACTGTGTGTCGGTTGGCTGCGGTAGAACCTCGATAACCGAGTCATCTGTGATCTGTATCGTTCGGAGTCTTATCCGCTGACTCGATTATTCGAATTCTTCGATAGCATCTCAAAGTATATGTACCGAAATATGCTTTAGATATCAAATAGAATATAATATATCATAGTTTCTTAGGAATTCACATGTCTCGAAAAGGATTCGCTTAAAACTGAAAATTACGGTAGAAACTCGACTCGACTGACAATCACTGTGGCTTTCCGACTGCGACTCTAATAACTGAACGACTGACCTCTTTATCGACGCCAGTAATCCCGTTTATACCATAAACTAGGCGTGTCTCTGAAATCTTAAAGAGTATAGTACATTCTACAGGATGCTACGTATACGATCGAATTTCGCGTGCTTCGAAGAGTTTCTTCTCGAGCCTACATTTCGACTCCTTGTCACCCAATTAAATCGCGCAATCGAAGTTCTATCGTATTGCCTGTGACAGAGGCAGATCCCGACAGTGGGGAGAATGGACGTAGGTCAAACAGAACGATGTGTCGCGCGAAAGGAAACATTCAAGTAGGAGGAGAGAAGGTAAACAATCGGGACGACAACCAGCATCGGGCGAAACTGTGTCGCGTGCACTTTCTATCGAGATATCCCGGCGCGGACAGTTGCCGATGCGGTAACGAGGTTTGCAAAGTGGTCGGGATGCAGCGAATTTTCCCTAAAATCGACCGGTCGTCCGGACAAAGGATCGGCTCGCCCTCTCAGACCCGAAATCTCCCAATTACCTTCTTGATTATTCCGCGCACGAGCGTGAAGGATTATTCAATTTGGCCGCGTATAACTGGGAAAGAGGTTTTGCGTCGACCTCGCATAGTCGCGCGACTGCGAATCCCCCTGGAAGCGCGCGCGCTACCGAAAAATGGGGGAAACGGGAACGTTCGAGGCCAAGAAAAATATGTTAAACGAGCTCGACGCTTGAAATATACACGACACGCGAGAACGTACGTGGAGTCGGCCCGGAATCCTAGCGGCAGGTTTAAAAATTGTCCGGAACCTCGAACCGAAGTGTATCGCGGCGAAACATCTTCGCGATTCATCATCGTTCTTCATTCGACAGCTCCGAATGCATTCATACATTCGCCGTTCGAGATTCCAGGGTTCGCGGAGATCTCGGCTCGATATATTTATTATCCCTCGGCTGCTGAATTGGGAATTCGTCGCGAGATTTTTCCGTAAGATCGATGCTCTTTCGATGACAGATTAACCCGTCGCGGAGGAGGATTTCGTGTAGTGTTAAACTGTGTTCCGCGGATAATTAAATTAAGCACGGAACTTTAAACTATCATAAATTGAGAAAACTGCGTACGGATTCTTCATTATTCGAATAATTAAATTCTTTGCCCGCGACTTTAGATTCCAGATATGTAAACCCGGCGTGGCAGGTAATACGGTACTCGTTCTCGAAGAGTTAGGAGGCGGGTTTGAAGATAAAGAGCAGGCAAATCTCGGGAATCTGCGGGGATCTTTCAGCTACTCGTCCAGCAGCGCGTCCACCGCATTGCTCAAAGAATCACGGGACTCCGGCTCGCATACGAGTCACGGAGAAGGAGCTCAAAGGCTGCGGCCTTATTTTCATTCCTATTTCGGCGAAGACGGGGGAGTCGGAGACGGGACGCTCGTCTGATAAACGACTTGCCAGATCCAGGTGACACCATCCCCGGCCCGCGTCCTTCTGCGCCGCTTAGAGCGATATCTACACGGTATATACAGTTTAACAGGCAATTCTGAACCCGCGATTTACCTTGCCCTGTCTCTGTTCTCTTGATTCTCTTCCTTGGCGACGCCCGAAAGTACTCGCCGTCGAAGTTATATTAATTTATCGTCCGTTCTTCGCGGACCCGCTTTCGAAATTGAAATTCCCGACTAAATGAATTTCCTAGAATCGTCTGTCCAAAGACAATTCGCAGCTTTGTCAGCGCTAAATAACAACCTACGAAGTATCCCGTGCTTTCTTCTTCGGATCTAGTAAGAAATAAGTAGGAGGAAGATCTTATCACAGGAAGTCGAACAGAAAGAATCGCAACCTCGTCCGACGATCAATTCATTGGAACAAGGAACCGAGGTCCGCTCAGCGCTTCCTGCTGCGAGGAATTACTCTCTCGGGCGTTTCTCGACTAAATCAATTATCCGATCCCCCGGCGATCGAACTCGCTCGCACGACAATCTGCGCGCGACCAGTAGTGTGCGGGTAGTCACGAGTTTCCCGTCAAAGACGACGAACCTCGTATCAACTGTCGCGCAGTTCCCGTCAATCGTCGAGCGGCCTTTATCCCGGAACAGTTGGCGGAGCAGCTATCGATGAGAAATTCTCCCTTTCAGTTCAGGATAAATTTCAAGATCACTATGTTTCCGAATTCGACTATCTTCGCGCAGGCGGCCGGCTTTAAGGTGGTGTGGGAGCTTCCCGCGGGCACCGCCCGGCCCGGCAGGTCCGTCTCCGACGTACACGAAGCGGCGGAGCTCGCTTACGAAAGGTAATAAATAGTTTAACGCCGACCAGTCGAATCGTCTAAGACGTATCATCTTGCTCATTATGATTTCAATTGAATTACATCTCGTAATGCCCATCGGTGGGTCAATGTACTCCCGATATCGTCAGCTTTTCTGCATATCTAACATATCATTGAAAAGGTAGAAATGCATAATCCAGTCATAATTTTTCTACACTATTCTCAAATTTGAAAACATCCTCGACTAAACGGGATCGCAGATATATTAGAAAACGTGAGACAAACGAATCGAAGATAAGCGATCGACTTAGAGATTTCCTAGGAGAAGGATCTATATCTTTTCAATAATCGCGAAAGAAGGAATACAAACGGGGTCATTCTGACCCGTCTAGTAGACTCAGTGTTAATATGGCCCGTGAATAATGCAGAGACAGGTTAGCCATCCGTGGCAGTCAGCGCGGCGGCGCGGCCTCGCAAAAAGATCTGGATTTCTGGCCAGGCCGACCGGCGGACAGTTTCCGGCCTCGTCTACGAATCGGCCAATGGCGCAGCGACGACCGCTTCCGCAGTCGACCCTCCCTCCACCCTTCTTTCCGGTTTCCCTGCCTGTTTTTCGCTTCCTCGCGCGGTCCGGCGTTCGTTCCGCTTGGCCAGGTGCGCATCCCGAACAGATTAGGTTCTCTTGGTCCGGGCGAGCGGGACCGTGCCGTGGCGACGTCAATGAATTCTCCGCGTCGTTGGCTCGCGGCGCTTTATCTTGAATAAAATATTACCCCGGCGACTCGCGTGACGGTGTTTCCAGTTCGAACCTTTTCCCATTCCAGCCACGGATTCGACGGAAGGTCCTGTCTGCTGAAGAACGTCTGCCAGGCGATGAGTTACGCTGGCCAGAGGAACGGAGTGTTCGCGAAGATATTAAAACTGCTGCTCGGGTAAGTAGCAAAAGCACCGTACAGCCGTTGCGAGATACAGCGGGCTCGTAAAATCGGTCTAGCGTCGAAGTGAACGTGTCTCGGGCTAGAAGACAAGACTCGAAACTGCGACCGACGCGTTTGATACGGTACGTTCAGAAGTGTCAATCGGTGCCGATGCTGTGGAGCTTAGGTTCTGCCTTGCAGGTTTAATTTACGAGCTCCCTATATCTCAACGACGGCTGTACGTTAATTCGCGAGGAAGACTCTCGCCGATGGCCTCTCTCATTCGCAGATCATACGCAAATATGGACGACTCGTCGAGGGATGAGGAAGCGGAGCCAATTCATTGCGACTACCACGTCAGAAATTGTCCCCTCCAGCTAATCGGAATCGATAGCTTTATCGAGCAGTGAACCGTGGAAGCTTAACGACTCGGAAAGAAGACCGAACACCGGAGGAATTATACGGAGAAATCGAAATAACGTGACCCTAATTGAATCTCCGATTCGCGACGGTCCTCCCGTAAAACTATGCGGGTCTATTTTTCACGGTTGAAACTCTTCGAAGGGGAGAGTCGTTGCTGAAAACACTGTAGGCCAGAGGACAAGGGATAGACCCGTGGTTCCCAATGTTGTATGTACGTCCCACACGAGGGCGATTCAAGAATGATTTGTTAACAGCGAATTTCTTTTAATACCACTATATATTATTATTACTGGTGTAACAATTCCTTAGTGATTTCTTCCTCAGTACTTCAACTATCCCTTCATTCTCTTATTCCTCTGTTTCGTGGAAGTTTGTTTCATCATTTATTGTAAATAATAGAAAATTCGAATCCTATTCTATGTCAACGTATGCTTTAAGGAATGATCTTTGATAACAGAGGAATAATATGTACTTTGCATTCAAACAAATTGAACAATATTTATGCTTAAATTCTATTTGAAATCTTCACCTCCAGTCTGACACGATATTGTAAAGCAAGGGGTTAAACCATGTTGATAGCTTTTTGGCTTACTCGACGCGACTAGCACTTCATTTTTGAAATAATAAAAATATGTCACAGACGGAGTGGGTGGCATGAGGATTTTAGATATGTTTAGGTAGGGCATCGCCAAAAAATCATTGGGAACCAGTGGAATTGAGGGCGAAGTAAGCGTTGCTCGAGCACGTGACCGTTATCCAGATTTTCCAGCGACGGCGACGACACCCCGGTCACATTCCACGACAGAACGGTTATAATTGCATCCACGGGGGCCACGCGTTAACGAAAAGCATTAATTTAGAATGTTCCGCGGTTTTCTTGCCAGACACCGCGCAGGTGGGGATGGCCGAGCGTTCACGCGCAACTCCCATATGCAATTAACAGACGCTCGTTCCACCGCTATGGGCTGCGAAATGAGGAAATAAGTGTCGCCCGGTGAAAAAGAGCCTCGCCCCGGTTCTTCCCGCGTCCCGCCGCCTCTTGCTCTTTCCGTTCCATCTCTATCCCGGTCCGATTTTTCCCAGAAAAGGCAACATTCCGGCCGCGAAGACAGTATGAATTAATATAAGCGCGCATTTAAAAGTACAATGAGCGGACCCGCGGCGCGCGTTACGTTTGTCCGGCACAGTTCCGCCGCGCGCGCGAACCTTCATTTATTTTTCAGTTTCATTCGCGACCCTTATTCCGTGTCACCGCGACTCTTCGAGGAGAGACAGTTTTTTACCCCTTGAGTCCGTAGGACTCGTATACGCGTCCAGCGAAATTCATCGACGTGAATGACAAGTTCATGCGTTTTGCCGTCACGGTTTAGCCGTGATTGTTAGACTGCGGATCCTTAAGCAAATTCAACTTCTTGAGAATGTAATTAGAGCAGTGGAATTACTATAGAAAACTGTTTTTCTTAATAAATGTTACCGAAAGCAATATGTTGTAGACGTTTCCCATATCCTTTAGCGTTCTGTGGAAGATCGCGCTTTCAAGCTTCCCGTAAATGCATGAAGATCGGTGGCCTAGTGATCGTTAATGTTTGCGTTTTATACACTCGATCGATAATAATGGAGAATTCCGGCTGAGAATTCAGCGTTCAACACGGTTGATCACGATTAAACTGTCGAGAACGGACGACGATCGAAGACCGGATGCGTCTCGAATTCAATTGGAACCGGACCAACGCTCAATAAAGAACATTTTCCGCTAGACAGTGTTGTTACTTAGATTCAGTCGTTCCCCCTATCGTCTGGACTTCACCCAGACCACGTGAACTCTATGATTAATTAACGATCACGACGGATACGGTTCGACGTCGACTAATCGAAGCGGCCACGCCGGGCGAAACCGGGACAAAAGGTATAGCCGGCGGCCAGTTTTTCCGTCGCGAAGTTAAATAATTTACAACACAGCCGATCCTTTGTTCTGTAAATTGTTAAAGCGGCCCGCGGAGACGGGACGAGCGAGGCACATGCAAATATACAATACGATCTTGGCTAATCACCAAAGTGGGCGTCCACCTCGACGCTGTCCTGCCGTCGCGGCGGCTCGGACGATTCTGCGGCATTCGGAATCATTTCTACAGAAAAGTTCGCCGATTTCGGGACATTAGGGCTCGTTTCCAAGAAGGAGGCCGCGCCCATGCAAATCATTGGGTACAACCTTTCGATTCCGCTTGCCAGAACGCTTAAACTCCCCGACAATCCTGTTAATTCGTCGAAGGAATCGAGTTCCAACTCGAGTAAATTCGACATTCGTTTCGCCGGCAGCCTTTATAGTAACGGTATTATAACCAATCTAACGAAATCGTTGTTTCCGAGATACTTGTAAAATTAGAAAAAACTTTCTTCTCCGGCAATAAATCATTTTGGAAAGACAGTGGTCAGATACTTAGATACTTAGATACATAATTAACTGTGCTGTAGAATATTTTCTTCAATCAGCCTACATTCTATTATAAATCAACTCTCTCACTCTAAATTTCTATTACCTCGATATACTCTTTTGTACTTATGTGAGAAAGGGATCTTTTCCTGTTAATTGCAAACGAATGAATAAATTTGAGGAAAATTCAAATGTAGCAAAGAAACGTTCGGCTTGACTACACGTGCCATGATTCCCAACGAGTGTGCGTATATTAGGCAGAGTTTCCTTACGCGGAACACTGGTAACAAAGAGGTTAACCCGAGAAAAATAAACCTTGGAGAACGCGTGCCACGGATAAAGCAAACTTTCGTGGCCGAAGCAGCAACACGTCGTAACATCGACTGTTTTGTTTACCTAAAAAATTGTCGGGACATCGTCTGGGCGTCGATTAGAGCCGCGTAACTACGCTACTGGCTCGTTCCCGTTACCTCAGCTCCCGAAACTACTCCTCGTTCATCGCACGTGACCGGTGCGTTAGTGTGAAACGCATTCTAGCGGTGTTCGAATCACTCTTGATTCACGATCCTCTGTTGTTTCGATTCCATCACGCATCGATCAAGAGTTCCGGCTCGAATAGTTTCTTCTGCGAAGCGTTCCCGATACTATAGGCACCGTTGGAGTCAACGTATGCACGTAGGAAGTCCGTCGACCGCAACGAAGGGATGATAAACGTCCGACGACTGTCCCTCATTCTCGTGTGTTTCGATTTCTTGATGATCTTCGCAAACGAGACATCGATAGACGCATCCAGGACGCTATCCAGGCGAAAGAGGTACTTGATCTTCCCGGAAGGCAGCAACGTTCAGGTAAAAGCTAGATTTCCTCTATGAAAAGCTGCTCGATCTTCTCGAAATACGGTAGAACCTCGATTAACCGAATTACTGTTTCGGAAATGCCCCATTCCCGATTTCTTCTTTAAACAATTATTAAAAATGATAACGGAAGCTTCTGTGAGGAATTACTAGAGAAATTGATTTAACGACAGGCAAACCGAATTGTGAATCAATTCAAACAATTTGAGTTTCTATAGGAGAATGTAAAAAAGTCAATTTGACTGCTCGATAGTTCTAGAGTTGAATTGGAGCTTGATGATTCGATTTCATAGATCGTGCCTTGAACTATATACCTGTACAATCGAAGTTTATGCCTTTGAAAAATTTCATTTCCAGTGTCCATTTATCTAGGCTGTTAGTCAGCCAACAAAATCGGGTAATCAAAGTTCCACTGTATTTAGTTTGTCCGTTTCATGGTTAATTCGGCGATCCGGCGCGACGACGTTCCATCGTTCGCTCGCCGACAGCTCGGAACGGAATCGACTGTACACTTCATTCGAGGCGATTGATCGAAGAGAAATGTATCGAATGTTTTCTGTCCGTACCAGCTGGTGTTTTGCCTGACGGTCGGAACGTACGCCAGAGAGAACGACGTGGTGATGGGCATGACGGCCGCTTTGGCCTGGGAGCTGCCGAGCAAAGTCGACAACAAAATATCGGAATTGCTTCATCGCAAGAGCAGGAGCACGGTGTACCCGAAAATAGAAGCCCTGCTGCAGTCGTAAGTGAATCAGTTCCCCGCAAACGCTGCTGCAATCTTACCGTGTCACTTCCGGAAACAATCCCGTATGCTTTCCCCGGCACGTGACGGTGGTCGAGTTTCGATTATATTTCCTTTCCGCTTGTTACACATTTTACAGTTGGATCCTTCTAACAATCGTATAGCTTCTACTTCGACGCGTCTCGGATATCGTTGACTCGAGCTACTTGAAATCAACGAATCGCTACATTGCTATACCTACCGGACGAATTAAAATCATCCAATCTCAATCTCTTTGTTTTACAATTATTCAAAAGGTAACAGATACTTTTCCGAGAAGTTATCAAAAAAACTGACTACTGCTAGGCAAGCTGAATAATACCTAAATCGATTGAAACCTCGATGAACGCATTCTTGGAGTCTCTATAAAGAAAATTGGTAAAGGTCGGATCGACCGTGGTTCCAGCGTTAAACGGGCAGAGCTGAACTTGAAACGGACCGTATCGCCGGCGACCTTTCTCCTGTGTTTTCCTTATTCGTGGCGCAAATTACCCAGGAAATAGAGTGTCAAACCGCAAAGAAGACGCAAGAATTTCAATTTCTTCTCCTCCATTGTTCCGTTACCGGCGCTTTTTGTTTTCACCCCCCGGCCGGCCGCGAAAGCTCGCTTTCATTCGGTTCCGAGGCGTGGTGTAACATGCAAATGGGCTCCCTCCGCCCCTCCCTTGCCGGCACATGCAAATGCAGGGCAGGCACAGGAATTTTCATGCGAAACGTGCGAGAATAACGAAACGGGAAGACGCCGGGTTCGATTCCGCTGCATTATACCGGGTGGTGCGGCAGGAAGCGTTACACGAACACGACGCCAATGGGATACGATGGGTAATTGGAGGTAAAGTACGCCGAAAGTCTGGCTCCCGGTATCGACTCGAGGAACCTTTGCCATTTTTCGCTGGAAATTCGTCCCCGTAGCCCGACGACAGAATACTCGTACTTCTCCCGCGTCACCTTGTACAACGTTTCCGTTCTTTTCGAGGAATTTTCCCCACGAACCGAACCGTATTAGATGTTACATCTCCGAAAGTGCGGAATATTGAATAACCACGCGGCTATTCGATCGAGTCGCTTGACACATCGCGACGAAAGTCACAGAAGCAATTTGTCATGTGAAGATCGCATTGATTTCTTTCGCGAGACACTTACATTCTGCGAATCTCTCTAGAAACCAGGTCCCTTCGAACCGCTGATACTTCGCGTATCAACTATTCCAAAGTTTAACCATTCAAACTTTCAACCATCCAGTTTTCAAAACTATCTTTCAAATATACCGATCAGATTCGCGTCAATATCTTAGTCGCCTTAAATCTTAACCGTTTGAGTCCGGCGCGCAGCTTTCGCGCTCTCGGGACTTCATATCGAAAAAAGTCAGCGCATTTGAACGATACGGACAACTGACGGGCGCACTCACAATCTGGCGAAACGCGCACAACTTTTCAGACGCATGTACGTCGCATCGCTACTTCTTTTGTATATAAGTAATCCAAGTCATACATTTTGTATTTCGTTGTTACCTATTATAAATTTATATATATAATAGTATTAACATAGATTAAGACAAGCGCTGTCACGCTGCTTGAATCTTTTCGCATCTCATTCAGAAAGCGCTATTGCGCTGTTCAGCTATTTTCCACCGTGTTTCTTAAAAAACTTCTGGTACTCAAACGGTCAAATCAATCTAATCGTACGCAACTCCGGATCGCAACGAACCCGGATAGCGGTGTCTAAGGTGAACGAAGCGACCGGTCGTGGTCGTTTTGTGGAAAGAGAGGAGAAATTCCGGTGACGAAGGGATCACTCGATTCAACAGAGTGTGGCTGGTTAACGACACTTCGGACAGAGTCGGATTTTTCCGGACATAATCGTCCGCGCAGGAATTTAATTAACAATCCTGGCGCTGCTGGAAAGCCTCGATTGGCATTCTTCGGTACGCTGCTCGCCCCCGGGAACCCCGACACCGACGGAGACACTCTTCGCGCTCTATTTTCACGGAAGACTCGACCACCGCAGGAAGCCGGCGCGGCGCGCAGCGATTTCCAGCGATCTCCAGCGACGCGCACCGCCGCGCCGCGTCGCCGCCCGGGGACCACCAACGAGTCCCTCCGCCTCGCTGGCTTCTTACCGAAAGTTTCCGGGCCGGAAGCAGCCAGCGAACAACAATGTGTTATACGCATCATCCGAGCGGCGTGGTTAAAGTTAAACGCGATTGCGCTCGGGAATGCCGCTCGAGTCGCCGGTAATTGTTTCGGCCGCAGGAAGCTCGCTTAAGCCGCGCCCCGTCATCAAAGTTTACGGGCCGGGGAACCATTTTAAATTAAACTTTATCGACAGCACCGGCCTGGACGGCAGAGCTTGCGTGATGAGGGCGCTATGCGAGACGGCCCAAAGGGACCCATCGCTCCTCGGCAAAGGGACTCTGGTGCAGGAGCTGCTGCACGCGATTTTCACGTGAGTAGATCGATCGACACTTCGATCGGGGGAACGGGGGGTTTGAATCTTGCACTTGTTTTGTGGAAAATGTCTTTTTCTTTGCCTATGCATACGAGCGACGCGATTGATAAAACGACAATGTATTGTGATAAGAATGACAAATATATGTATTTTCTCTGTTTTTAATTGTGTATATTGTATAAGGTGAAATTTGTTCTATATGTGGTACATGTTCGTAAAATCAGCATGGTTCGTGTGCATTGGTCTTTATGTGTTGTTTTAGGATCGTGTCGCATTCACCTTCAACTGTGGATAAGTGTAATGATAGAAATTATATCAAATCTCGAGTATATCGACTGGCATATCGTTTTCACAAAGAACGTTCTTGTCTCGAACGCCTTCGGTCTCCGGTGTACACTCGTCGCGACGAGCCGGATGATATGGAATGCCTTAACCGTTTCAAACAACTATGCAATTACGGGGCGGCGATCAATCGAGGGAATGAATCAACCGAAACAATTAAATTATTACCGTCTGCCCCGTGTAACCAACTGACTGTCCTCCGGTTAACCGATTCCGTTGTCCCGGTTGAATCATTCAAGTCGCCGTCGTGCCGAACGATCGCACGTTGTTCCAATGAATTGTTAAACGGCTGGAAGTGCTCCGTCGCGGTATTTTCGGGGTGAAAGATATCCACCGCCTTTCCGAACGGTGGGAAATCGGTCGGGCTTTAGATCCGGGAATCCTTGAACTTGGAAACCGAGTCGTACCGTTTAGATTCCGAGTATACAGACTTATCACTATTTCGTCCTGAACATTTCTTACTACAATCCTTTCACTTCTCCTTTTATAAAGACTAGATTTTTATTTATTTCAGATTCCTTTCGTTTCCTTTAAAAGTTTATATATCGCGGCGGCACCTTTATCTGCCTTAACACGTTCGCTACCAGCGTCACATATTTGTAACTGCCGTAATCTTGTATTTTACATAATGAAAATTAAATTAACCTTATAGATAGTGTTATTAGAAATTGTAAACTACGACATTGTATTTAGGAACTCAATGACTTGTTTTAGTTTCTCTTTTCTAATATTTTGTTTAGCTTTATTAGATTGAAGAAAATATTGTAATTGATGAGACTGTTAGCGAAATAAGCGCTGGCAGCGAACGTATTAAGAGCCTTTATCGCTCAGTCTATTATCTATTTGTTTACATACCTGTCTGTAAACATCCTACACTCGACCCCGTGTCTAAAGGCCACCATACGGCGATGCAGGCATTGATTTGAGCCTTCTTCACTTGTTGTTTTGTGCAATACGTATCATGAAATTTTGGAAGACTCAAACCCATCACTTGTAGCGATCGCCGCAGGTTTCAACGTGTATGAAAACCCTAAGGCACGGATCTGCCAGAAAGCCTTATTAATGAGTTCACTGGTAGAAATCCCTTACGAAACGTTCTCTTCTTCTGTCCTAATCTACTCTAACCTTTTCCTTGTTCCATAATTTTACAAGCCGCTTCAATATTATTACACGATTCGTTTCAAAATCTATTTCCTTTAACACTAGATGTACGGAACCGGTCAATCTGACGGAAATTGAATACTTCAAACAGTACTTCGTAACAATCTAAGTCCATTTTGATTGACGCAACTATGCGAATTCATATTATAATTCTTTGCTCTTGACACACTAATTTCCATCATCTATATAGACGAACAATCTTCTAGGAACAATAGAATAAAGTATAAAATGAACGTCCGTAAATCTAGTGTTAACCCTTTCCACTCGAAAGTTTTTCACTGGAAATATTTAACATTTTCCAACAAGATATAGACGACACTGTTTGAAAATAATTTAAGCAGCAAAGCTATTTCGGTTAAATGTTTCACATAGTAGTACAAAGTTTAATTTAAAATACTAAACATTCTACTTCGTTCTGTTGCATCAAATCAAGCGGTGACAGAGTCACCTCTCGAGCGCAAAGTTTAATCTTTCACCTGATCGGTGAACAAAAGAATGCTGTGTCGTTTGATGATCGGAAACGATTGAGAACCGTTTTCGACGGACAGAGGCGAACCGGTTGTTCGATCTATGTATCCTAAATCCCACTATCTCGTCGCAGGCTGCCCAAGGACGGCGGAAGATTCGAGCGAGAGGAAGACCAGGCGTACGAAGACGCGTACAGGGTCACCGAAAATTGCGAGCGACTATATCCCGGCTGCCGGCACTCCATTTACGAGCTGGAGTTCTGAGGCCCCGCCGAAGGAAGCTCGTGGAGGTTGCTGGAATTCGAGGCATTCGTATGCGTGTGCAACGTCGACCGCGTTTCGGGCAGGACGTGCCACTCGCCCGGGAAAACGGTAGCTCAAGTTTTCCTGGCCGCTCGCCCGAACTTCGGTAATTTTTCAAGTCGGCCGCCCGTCGTGCCGCGACCCCGCGTAACCCCCCTTCGTTGCCAAGTTGCGTGGATCACCGGCGGATACATTCGTTACGACGAATACGCAAAGGATGCGGAATGTATGTTCCCGGCGTGTCTAGCGGATGAAAAATGCAACGTTGATCTTCGTTTCCATGCGAACCGCGTCGAAAGCGGCATCTCCGATTTTTTGTCTTCCGTGGAAGCTAAGGAAAGAGCTCGGTGTTTATGCGAGTTATTATTCCTCCGCACTCGGAACCTTTTCACTGGAAATGTTCAACGTTCTCGGACGAGTCATGGACGATGTTCGTTACAACTAACTTAATCATTCGCACGTGATTCGAGGAACGAAGCGATTTTATTTCGATATTTCACGTAGCACTTATGCGTTACGCGAAGTTTAAAATTATGTATTGGACTTTATGATTGTAGAATATCAAATCGGGTGGTGACTAAAAATAAACTTCGAGTGTGAAGGGTTGAGAATAATGGATCCTATGCGAGTAGACGCATCCCTATATACGAGTCTGGACGATTTCGAACATCTTCACGCGAATATAATATGACGACCGGAAGAGAGGGGCAGAGAAACGAGGAATAAAACAGTTCGATCGATCTTCGACTCATGCGTAATCATCTCGTATATTATTCGAGTCGACGTATTTTCTGGTCGTTTTTGAGCCGAGCCTCGACCGACGCACGTATAATTTCGCGCTCGACGTTTTCGATCTCCGGATTTCGAATTACAGCTCCCGATGGGGAATTTCAAAGATTTCGCGTCCAAGCTTTCGCACCGAATTGATTTCACCGGACGCCGGCGACGGTGACGCTGGCGGCGTGTAATTCATTTTGCATTAACAAAACGGCCAACCGAGTGCCCAGGATTTATAGTTCATTTGGACGGAGTGCAGCGGCAGCGGCGCGGCTACGGTCGAGTGCGGCCGCTCTGAGCCCTTTTGTAAACAGGAACGGGGGTAAAAATGTCTGCGTCGTTATTTAAATGTCCAATATTTAAACGGCGAGTGTGTCGCGCTAAACATTCAAGCAACGTTTTATTAATACATTAACGTACGGTCCGGTAAAGCCGAGTTGGCAGAAAGTTTGAGCGGACCGTTAAAAATCCGTCGGTTTTTTTCGTTAACTGAACCGAGTAATTGAATAACTCTAAATTGTACGTATCAACACTGGAACGGGCCAAGCGCGCGGCCGAAACGACTGCTTTCTAATTTCTGCGCTGACCGTCGGTTTGTTTTAACGTTAATGCCTCGACGCTTTTTTGCCGGCGATATTATTTCCTACGATAACATGGAAACAATAAAGTGATAATGCGCGGGAAATGATTCGGCATTCTCGAATGCATCTCGTAGATTTGATTAACACTAGAATCGTCGAACGGCCCGACGTGAAATTGAAGTTCAAATTGAAAGTTTGAATGTCTAAAAATTTGACATTTTTATCTTGCGATTACCGGAATTAGTAAGACGATTTATTTAGAAATGAAATAATCTTAATACACAGATACCTGTATCGACACTGCATTAAAAAGAAACGCACCCATCTAATTTTGATAAGAAATTATACAAGAGTAGATAGTAAATAAGCCAGCTCTAGCGTTAAACGTGAAAAACACGGGGAACATGTTTTTTGTTGGATGACGAGGGTATAACCTACGGTCCGCGCTGTAATTCCACGTTGTAACGACAACGAAAAATCTTTCCGGTCCAACGAAGGAGGATGATAGGAGGGCAGGAATTTATCACCGCCGCTAAAAAATCCGTCGTTCCGTTTTTACAACGGAGAACGTTCCAATTATATTTTCGCCCGGCCGGGCGGCGCGGCGGTCCACGAGGTTCGTCGTAAAATTTCACGAGTCCCGGGAATAGAATCGATGACGCCATCATTCTAATTACTTGGCTCGCGACGAGGACGATGATTCGTGATCACGGGGACGCGCGTGCATCGTACTTCTTCCCCTTTCTTCTCTGTTCTTCTTGTTTTTCGTAT